AGGAGGTGTTTGACAATGGAGTGAAGGTGGGAGCTGCCTGCTTTCCCTAAGGCAATTGCCTGTGGTGTGGTGAGCAGTGCCAGCACGCCAGCCAGACACACCGGTGTGCTGTGGGGTGCTGTGCCGGGGCTGGCAGGTGATGGCTCTGTCACTCTGGTGTCTGTTTGAACCCTGCCCAGGACACTGTGCAAATGGGCTTATCCCTCTCTCTGTTGCTTCCTCAAAACATGATGGGAAGTGGCTCGAAGGTCAAGCCAGAGTCTGCCTCATTTTCCCTTTGGGGGTGTTCAGAGCTGTGAACGCTCTGCTGGCAGGGAGACGGTGCTCTTGTTGCCGCACCGATCCCACGTGTGGTCTTCATGTGTCCTCTTCAGCTGAGGCCAGACTCCATCATCCACGTGTGGAAGACCTCCAAGCCATACATGGAGGAGATGGCAGATGTCACCAAGGCTGGCTACCACGCTCTGCTCTCTACCCCCTGGTACCTCAACCGCATCTCCTACGGGCAGGACTGGATGGCAGCCTACCAAGTGGAGCCCTTGAAGTTCAAAGGTGTGTTCCTTATGTCCCCTTCCCGTGTGGCAGCTGACTTGTCACTCAGAGGTAGCACCAGGGCTGCGTGTCTTGCTGCTGGTGTGAAGGTGCTTAAGTGACCATGTCCTTGGTTCCTGTGCTATGTCCTGTTCCCTTGCTGCCAGCAGAGAACACCTCTGCTCTCCCCAGCCTGGGGTTTGAAGTGGGGGCTTTCAGACACACAAGTTTTTGCCTCCTTGGCTGAGCCAAGGTGTTACAGGCACCTCTGTGAGTAGGGTGTTCTCATACAACACCCCATCACCTGAATGCTGTGTCCTCTGGCAGGCAGTGCTAAACAGAAGGATCTGGTGATCGGTGGAGAGGCCTGCATGTGGGGTGAATACGTGGACGTCACTAACCTGACCCCCAGGCTCTGGTAAGAGAAGCCGTGGGGAGGTTGGCTGGAGTCACAGGGACAATGCTTGGGCCCCTTTCTTTCACCACTGAGCAATGTGGGTGTGCTCTGTGCATGGTGCTTGTCCCTGTCCCCTGGCAAGACCTCTATGCTAGTAACAGCTTCACTGAGGCTTAAATGAGGGTTTGTAAGAGTGTAACGTGCTGCTGTGCACCACCACTATGTGTTTTATGCCGTTCTGTCCTTTCTCCCTGGTCCACTCCTGATCTGCGTGTGTCTGGGAGTGGATCTTTTGATACCCAGCAGCCACGTGATGCAGGATGTCGGTCAGGAAGGTGCTGGGGAGCTCAGGGCTTTGTGTGGGAAGCGTTTGAACTCCCCCTGACCTGCTGCCGCTGTCCTTCGCTCCTCAAGGCCGAGAGCTGGGGCTGTAGCCGAGAGACTGTGGAGCAACGCGAGCGTGAGGAACCTGCAGGACGCCTACGTGCGGCTGGCGGCCTTCCGCTGCCAGCTCCTGGGGTAACGTCCTCCACACAGCAACGCAGAGCGCGGCGACAGGGCCACCTCGCTGGGTTCAGCCCCCTGGGAGGGCGGTGAGGGTGAGGTGGGCTTTCCCTGGTGCAGAATGCACCTTGTTCTGATGGAGAGCCCCAGGTTTTTCTCTGCCTGTGCGTAGGCAGAGCTGCTTTGTGCAGTGCTGGAAGAGAAACCCTGCTGCTGGCGTGGGCTGGCGGCTCTGTCGAGGAGAGGGCTTCATGCTGAGGAACGGGGACGTGTCAGCTATTGCCACCTCTCCTGCAGCCTCAGCTTCCCCAGGAAACCTGCCCTTACCCGTGGCTCCCACACATGAGCAGAAAAACAAGTCTGCAAGCACAGGATGAAAACCGCTCCCTCCTTGTCACACCTGAGACAGGCACCAATGGCCACCCTGTGACCACTGAGACCTGACTGTGGGCTCTGCCTGTGTCCTCTGTGTAATCATAGAATCCCAGCCTGGTTTGTATTGGAAGAGACCTTAAAGCTCATTCAGTTCCAACCCCTGCCATAGAGAGGGACACCTTCCACTAGAGCAGCTTGCTCCAAGCCCCTGTGTCCAACCTGGCCTTGAGCACTGCCAGGGATGGGGCAGCCACAGCTTCTCTGGGCAACCTCTCCCAGTTTGGCTCCAGAGCAGAGCTGCTCCAGCCCTCGCAGCATCTCTCTGGCCTCCTCTGGGCTTGCTCCAGGAGCTCCAGGTCCCTCCTGTGTTGTGATGTCCTCTCTCTGCTCTCTTGCCAGGCGCGGGGTCCAGGCGCAGCCGCTCTATGTTGGATACTGTGAAAATGAATTTGGAGGGGTTTGAAGCATGAGTCCCACTGCCCTCGCTCTGCACATGCCGGAGGAGTGATGGTTCTGCCTCGAGAGCTGCTGGTTTGGCTTGGCCCCTTCTGCCCAGCTTCTGCTCTTACTTTGTTGCAATGAACATTTCTGTCCCTTTAGTGTGCACCCTTTGCCTCTTCCTATTTTTATTTCTTTAAATCTATAAATAAATGACCCGAAGAGGAAAAAGGTGCTTTTTCATGCTCAGCTGGGACTTAAAACCGTGCAAGGGCTATTGTTGGCAGGAGATGTGTAGGTGCTTGCTCCAGAGATGCCAGTGCGGAAGCAACATCCCATTGCTCCGGAGGGTGCTGGGTGCCTGCCTGATGAACTGTGCTTTAGTCCCTGCTTCCCACCCTGCAGAGAGGTGACAAGAAGGTGTGAACTGCCCTGTTGTCCTGGGATGGGGAGCTCAGCTCCAGGCCTCCTGCATCCCCGAGAGGTCTGGTTTGGATATTGGCTCCTTGGAGAAGAGACTGGTGCTGCCACTGTCCCATGGAGCTGGAGTCATGGCTCTTGTCCGCGGCTGGTTGGGAACCACATTCAGCTCAAAGCAGGGAATCTCTTGGGAAGAGTGTTTTGGGCTTAAGTGCGTGAGATCTGCTGCTATGGCAGGAAACCTTTTATTGCTGAACTTTAATTTTAAACGCTGTTGGACTTTTATTTAAAAAACAAGATTTTAACTATAAAAATGAAAATTTTAATTTAAAAATCTGACCTTTAGAAATAAATTTTAAAACTTGGCCTTAAAAATATTAATAATTCTCAAGTCTTGCATGTCTTCACCCTCCTGCAAAAGGATGCCCAAATGCTGCTCCTCTGAAGTGATATATCTTAAATAGGATGGGAGGGTCGGTTGTGATGCCCAACCACCACGGAGCAGGGAACTTTAGCCAGGTTTTGGCGAAAGGGGGCTATTTTCCTACATGAAAAGAAGGATATTTTCCCTGGTTCCTGGGGAAAGAGGCTCCTCTGCTTCCCCCAAGTCTCAATGGAGAATTTGTGCCCCTTTCCTGCATTTTTTTTTGGTTGTGAGTATTGTCCTGATCTTGCGTTTCAGGTGGTGCGGTGGGAGCCGGGAGTGTCAATCTGCTGCCTGTCGGTGCTGGCAATCCTCTTGGATTGAGTAACCCAAAAGACCAAAGTAATCATAATTATAATCATGATTTGATGTGGTTCTGAGTCCTAAAGCACTCTGAAAGGCCGGTGTAACTAGTGCTAGCACCATCAAGCACTGATCGGAAGCTCCTTACTCCATGAGGACATCCTGTGCTCTGCCCCTTGTCCCCACCAGTGCCACCCAGCATCCCCACGGCATCCTCTGGGCTCCACTTCAGGAAGCATCACTTGGCACCACAAAGGCCTCAGGGAGCTGTGGAGCAGCAGCTTTACCTCCTGGGCCGGCCTCTGGTGCTTTAGAGCTGGTGTTTGCCCCGTGCCTGCGCGGCAGGGGTGGCACAGACCCCTCCTCGTGTGGCCCCTTCTCCCCAGCACATCTATTTCGGTGAGCGCGGAGCAGGCGGTGCCGCGTGAATCACCCGGGGCTCGACGGGATTAAAAATAAACCCAGGCGCTGGAGAGGAGCAGCCAGAGCGCGGCTGGGGGGATGCGGAGACCCCCGCGGGTGGGCACCCCGGGCACCGAATCCTTCCAGTGGGTGCTGCTGGGACGGGCTTGCGCGTGCCTGCGTGTAGAGACTCGCATGTGGGTGCCCGCGAGCACGTGTGTTTGTGTACCTGCTTGCACACACGTGCAGATGCAGCACAGGCTGGCAGCACGGGCATGGAGCTGCACGTGCCTGTGCACGCCCTTGTGTGTGCTCGTGAGCGCTCCTGCAACCACGCGTGTGCACCTGCAGCGCGTGCTTGTGCCTGCACACGCGTGTGCCTGCGCGCCCTTGAGCATGCATGCGTGTGCACACACACTCCCGCGACACGCCGGGGCTTGTAGGGACCTGCGCACGCTCGTACACATGCGCTTGCTCATGCTTGCATGCACAAACCCAGGCTCACACGTGCTCGCACATGCCTGCACACGCATGCCAGTGTGCTGAGGAAGCCCCCCCCCCCCCCCAAGCCCTGCTGCTTCTCTGGGAGTAATTAATTAACAACCGTGCCAGGTATTAAAGGCGTTTGGTCTAATTACAGATGTTTCGGGGTGACACAGGGTCCATTGAGGTGAAAAACGCAACAAAGCGCCAACATCGTCCCCTTTCCGGCTTGTTTGGGGTGTTCACATCCCGCCTAAGGTGGGTGTTAACTCTGGAACCTACTGAGGGCCGCGGGGGGCCGGTCCCGCTTCGGGTGGCGGGGGGTGATGGGGATGACGGGGTGTGACGTGGGGTGTGACGGGGTGTGACGGGGTGTGACGTGGGGTGTGACGGAGGCCGGAGCGCGGTGGGGCAGAAGGGGCTGGGGTGGGCCCGGCAGGGGGCAGTAGTAGGCGGAGCCGGGGTCCCCCCGCGCGGCTGCCGGCCTCCCCTCTCCTGATTGGCCGCCGCTGCCTCATTATGCTAATGACCTGCGTCTCGCCGGGGCCAGCCTGCTGACGTCACCAGCCCGCGGGTTGTTGGGGGGGGGGGGGGGGGGGGCAGTGCCGTGAGCGGAGAGGCCCGGGCCGAGCCGAGCGGTTCCGAGCGGTTCCGAACGGCGCCGAGCGGGGCGGGGCGGGGCGGGGCGGGGCGGCGGGCGCCTCCCGCAGCGGCGGCGGCGGCGGCGGCGGAGCGGGCCATGGCCGCGGCGGGCAGCGGCGTGGCGGCGGCGGCGGCGGAGGCGGGCGCGGCGTTCAGCACCGCGAACAGCGGCCGGGTGAACGGGCTGAGCCGCCCGCCCGGCGCCATCGCCATGAAGGATCACGACGCCATCAAGCTCTTCGTGGGGCAGATCCCGCGTAACCTGGAGGAGAGCGACCTCAAGCCGCTCTTCGAGGAGTTCGGCCGCATCTACGAGCTCACCGTGCTCAAGGACCGCTTCACCGGCATGCACAAAGGTACCGGGGGCGCCGAGCCTGCCCGCGGGGCGCGACCGGGGCGGGGAGCGGGGGGGGGCGGCGGGCAGAGGTGGGACACCCGAACGGGGGCTCCCCTCGGGTAGGACGCCCTGAGGTGCAGCCGTGGTCTGAGTACCCCTGAGATGGGGCACCCTGGTATGGGGTGTCCCAGAGGAGGGGGTGCCCCTGCGGTGGTGCACCTCTGAGGGGGGACACCTCTGAGGTGGAGCACCCAAACACGGAGCACCCTTGAAGTGGAGTTATCCTCAGTCTGGAGGTAGCCCCTAAGGTGGGGATACCCCTGATGTGAAGGTACCCCTGAGCTGGGGGCACCCTGAAGGTGGAGGTGTGCTGGAGGTGGGGTTCCCTGGTATGGGGTACCCCTGAGGTGGAGGCACTGGTATGGTCACCCTGGTATGAGGCACCCCTGGGGTGAAGGTACCCCCGACGAGGGGACACTCAGGTGTGGGGCATCCTGGTTTGTGACCCCCCCCTAAGTCTGGGGTACCCCTGAGGCAGAAGGCACCCACGTAAGGTGGAGGTACCAATGGGATGGGGACACCCACTCAGGGTTTGGGATGAGGAGCTGCCATCTGGCTTGGGGACACCCCCGGGGTCAGAGCACCCCAGGGCTACAGCACCCCAGTGGAGTTTAGGACATGTGCCTGGACTGGGGACACCTGTCTGGCATCAGGGCACCCACCTGGGATACAGGCACCCACTGCAGATGGAGGCACCCATTTGGGATATAGGCACCCACTGTGGATGGGGGCACCCATTTGGGATGCAGGCACCCACTGTGGATGGGGCCACCTATCTGGGATACCGGCACCCACTGCGGATGGGGGCACCCGTTTGGGATACAGGCACCCACTGCGGATGGGGGCACCCGTTTGGGATACAGGCACCCACTGCGGATGGGGGCACCCATTTGGGATACCGGCACCCACTGCGGATGGGGGCACCTGTTTGGGATACCAGCACCCACTGCGGATGGGGGCACCCATTTGGGATACAGGCACCCACTGTGGATGGGAGCAGCCATTTGGGATATAGGCACCCACTGCGGATGGAGGCACCCATTTGGGATACAGGCACCCACTGCGGATGGAGGCACCCATTTGGGATACAGGCACCCACTGCGGATGGGGGCACCCGTTTGGGATACCAGCACCCACTGCGGATGGGGGCACCCATTTAGGATACAGGCACCCACTGTGGATGGGGCCACCTATTTGGGATACAGGTACCCACTGTGGATGGGGCCACCTATTTGGGATACAGGCACCCACTGTGGATGGGGCCACCTATTTGGGATACCGGCACCCGCTGTGGATGGGTGCACCCATTTGGGATACAGGCACCCACTGCGGATGCAGGCACCCATTTGGGATACAGGCACCCATTTGGGATACAGGCACCCACTGCAGATGGAGGCACCCATTTGGGATACAGGCACCCACTGTGGATGGGGCCACCTCTTTGGGATACAGGCACCCACTGCAGATGGGGGCACACATTTGGAATACAGGCACCCACTATGCATGGGGGCACCCATTTGGGATAGAGGCACCCGCTGCAGATGGGGATACCCATTTGGGATGCAGGCACACACTGCGGATGGAGGCACCCATTTGGGATACAGGCACCCACTGTGGATGGAGGCACCAGGCCTCTGAGAGCCCCCAGGACCAGGGCTGCCCAGCTGCACCTGGCACAGGGAGCAGAGCACCTGAGCAGAGGTGTGCCGAGGGCTGCATGTGTGCACTGCTGAGGTCCCTATGGACCCCCCCGCCCCATAAGCCAGGGTCTGTGGCGCTGGAGCAGGGTCAGGGCACCCTGGGTGTCACCCGGACAGGATCCTCCTCACCCTGTCACCGAGCGCCTGTGCCACGGGCAGCGCCCACATCACCGGGACTTCCTGGGAAGCTGAGACTTGGTGCTTGTGGATGGTGCCCTCGGGCCATGGGGCAGCCGCCGTGAACCACACCATTCTCATCACCGCGCCCTCCCGAATGCCCCCGGCTGTTTCCGAACCGCCCGTGTGCCACAAACAACGGGATTCACACCTCGCCAGGGCCCCTCGGCGCCTCTTCCAGCACGGGCTTCAACTGCTGCGGCCCAGACACACGCTTGAACTGCGGATGTTCCTCTCATTCGAGCACCATCCTTCCTCCCGGAGAGCCTCTGGAGCGGGACCGCTCCGGCCCCAGCCCTCCCAACTCCTCCGGAACGCCTGGGCACCAGCCACGTTGTTGCTGTAGGGGAAATGGGGAAGAAAACGAAGGAATAAAGAGCGGCGAGGAGGAAGCCAACACGATTACGGATGGTAAACACTGGAAATGGCACCGGGGCTGACGCGAGCTGCTGCGCTGACCTCCCCTTTCCACCCGCAGTGGGATAATGTTTAACCAGGGGGATCTCTCCTTGCTCCCCGCGCGGGTTGATGTCCCCAGCACCCTGCGGCGGGGCGAGGGACCCTGTCCCTTGGTGTCCCCCCGCACCACTGTCGTGCTCCCTCCCCTCCCAGGCACGCTGATTGTACTTATTAAGAGTTATTAATACTTAATCAGCTGGCGGATTTAATTGTGCCAATATTAAAAATGCATCAATGTCAATTTTATTCATTAAATATTTACTTTGTTGAAGGGAAACTGTTTTGCTGCTGTTTTAATATCACTTTCAGGCACTTTTGGATGTGACCCCAGCAAACCGGGGGGGAAGCCCTCGGGGAGGGAGCAGTGTGGTGGTGGCACAGGGACCGGCATGTTCCCGCAGGGACGGAGAGGCGGAGGGGAGAGGACCGGACCCGGTCCCTAGGGCTTGCTCGTCGCCAGCTCCGGGCAAACGAGTGGCGTGGCAGCGTGAGTCAGCGTGGGAAAACCTCACCCCAGGCGTATTCCTGGTTCCCAAAGCGCCAGGATGTCGGAGGAGCCGTGCCTCATCCCGAGGAGGATGCTCGGAGCTGGGAGCAGCGCGGCGCCCAGCCACGATGCGTGGCCTGCCCGGACGCCTGGAGATCTGCTTCCCTGAGGCTTCAGCTGCAGCTTCCCCCAGGGCGCCGCTGCTGCCCGTGTGCTGCTGCTGCTGCCCTGCTCCTTCCTTCATCCCACTGCTCCAGCTCCCATCCTGTTTCGGGGCTGAGCTCTGGGCCTGCTGGTGGTGGTGCCCTCTTGGGTGCCGGGGTGCCACGGTGACAGGGTGCTGGATGTGATGGTGCTGGGTGCCAGGGTGCCACAGTGCTGGACATGATGGTGCCAAGATGCTGGGTGCCAGGATGCCAACAATGCTGGGTGCTGGACATTATGGTGCCACGGTGCTGGGGTGCTGGGTGTCAGGGTGCCACAGTGCTGGACATGACAGTGCCACGATGCTAGGGTGCTGGATGCCACCTTGCTGGGGTGCTGGGTGTCACAGTGCTGGTGTGCGTGGTGCTGGATATCAGAGTCCCAGGGTGCTGGATGCCACAGTGCCACGGTGCCAGGGTAGGAGGTGCTGGTGCCAGGGTGCTGGGGGCCCCAGTGCCACATTTGTGTGCTTGGGGCTGGGCATTAGGACACTGACCCTGTCTCCCGGTCTCCACAGGCTGTGCCTTCCTCACCTACTGCGCCCGCGACTCGGCCCTGAAGGCGCAGAGCGCCCTGCACGAGCAGAAGACGCTGCCGGGGGTGAGTGACACCGGGGTGAGCTGGGGCAGGGCACGGGGACGGGGACACGGACCCGGGGTGCGGGAGCAGGAGCCGCTTCCAGCGGCCGCAAACCAAGGCATCGATTTTGCTGGCTCCCGCGTGTGCTGCGCTTTCTGTGGGCTCCGACCTCCCGAGCTTAACAAAGTGAAAATAAATATTTAATTATTCGCCTAAATAAAAATCAATAGGGCCGCTGCTTGGCTGGGAAAGCGCCGGGCCCCGGGAATATCCATCCCTGCCTCGGGAGCGCAGAGCTGACGGAGCAGAATGAGGTTCATGTCCTGAGCCGCGCTCTCACCCATGGTTTAGTGCATCAGTAGGTTTAAGGTTTAACAGCCCACTTTGGCACCCTAAAGGAGGTGCAGGTTCGGGCCCTGCCTGTGGGCGCGGGGTTGGGACTTGCCTTCATCCCTTCTCATCACACGCTCTCTGTGTGTACACGCATGGGCGAGGTGTATGGTCGCTGTAGCTGCTCACTTCTCACCCTGCACCCCTGGTGCGCGGGGTGAGCACAGGGGTGCACGTGTGAGTAGGTGCTTGCAGGTGGGTGTGTGGGCATGTGCCCATGTGGAGGACGTGCCTGTGCACACCCCTCTGTGCAGGTGTGCATGCAGCGGTGCGGGGTGTGCATCCGCCAGGGCACACAGCCGCAGCAAGTGTGCACACCCCTGTGCTTGTTGTGCTCACACCCCTGTGCCTACACCCCCTTGTGCTTGTGCCCACACCCCTGCAAGCTCTTGCACACCTCCTCTGCACACCCCTCTACACTTGTGCACACCTCTCTCTGCTTCTGTTTACAACCCTGTGTGCTTGTATATGCGCCCCTGGGTTTATGCACACCCCCTGTAGCTGTGTACACCCTCCGTGTTCGTGCTTATACCCACACGTGCCTGTGCACACCGTACAGTTGTGCACTCCCCATGTATCTGTGCGCGCCCCTCTGTGCTTGTACACCCCCCCCCGTGCTCGTGAGCTCTCTGTGCTTCTGCACACCGCTGTGTGCTCCTCATCACACCCCTGTGCCTGTGCACAACCCCATGTGCTTGTGCACACCCGTCTGGACTTGTCCACATTCTCTTATACTTGTGCACACCCCTCTCTGATTGTGCATAGCCATGTGTGCCTGTGAACACTTCCATGTAGCAGTGACAGCCATGTGTGCTTGTACTCAGACCTGTACCAGTGCTCACACCCCTGTACCTGTGCTCACCCTGTACCTGTGCTCACACTGTACTTGTGCTCATACCCCTGTACCTGTGCTCACACCCCTGTACCTGTGCTCATGATGTACCTGTGCTCATGATGTACCTGTGCTCATACCCCTGTACCTGTGCTCACACCCCTGTAAGTGTGCTCATGCTGTACCTGTGCTCATGCTGTACCTGTGCTCATACCCCTCTACCTGTGCTCACACTGTACTTGTGCTCATACCCCTGTACCTGTGCTCGCACCCCTGTACCTGTGCTCACCCTGTACCTGTGCTCATGCTGTACCTGTGCTCACACCCCTGTACCTGTGCTCACACCCCTGTACCTGTGCTCATACCCCTGTAGCCGTGCTCACCTGTACCTGTGCTCATACCCCTGTACCCGTGCTCACCTGTACCTGTGCTCATACCCCTGTACCTGTGCTCACACCCCTGTACCTGTGCTCACACTGTACTTGTGCTCATACCCCTGTACCTGTGCTCACACTGTACTTGTGCTCACACCCCTGTACCTGTGCTCATACCCCTGTACCTGTGCTCACCTGTACCTGTGCTCATACCCCTGTAGCTGTGCTCACACTGTACTTGTGCTCATACCCCTGTAGCTGTGCTCACACCCCTGTACCTGTGCTCATACCCCTGTACCTGTGCTCACCTGTACCGGTGCTCATGCCGTACCTGTGCTCATACCCCTGTACCTGTGCTCATACCCCTGCACCTGTGTTCACCTGTACCTGTGCTCTCCCTGTAACCCTGCTCACGCTGTACCTGTGCTCACACCACCTGTACCTGTGCTCATACCCCTGTACCTGTGCCCACCTGTACCTGTGCTCATACCCCTGCACCTGTGTTCACCTGTACCTGTGCTCACCCTGTACCTCTGCTCACGCTGTGCCTGTGCTCACCTGTACTTTTGCTCACCTGTACCTGTGCTCGTGTCCCCGGGTGTACCCCACTCCGGGCAGGCCCCGCCCCCGGCGCGTCTTGGGGGCGTGTCCAGGCTCGGAGGGGGCGTGTCCCGACCGAAGCCCCTCCCCTCGGCTCGGCTCGGCCCGGCTCGATTCGGCTCGGCTCGGCGGGGCTGCGGCCGCCCCTCCCTCCCGCCCCGCCTCCCGCGCGCCGCTGCGCGAGCCGAGCCGAATCGAATCGGGCCAGACCGAGCCGAGCCGAGCAGAGCCGAATCGAACCGAGCCCCCCCGCCGGGTCCGGCCGGCCCGAGCCGAACCGAGCCGAGCGGAGCCGAACGGAGCCGAGCCGGGCCGGGCCGGGCCGGGCCATGCAGCTGCCGCAGGTGCCGGCGCCGGGGCCGCGGCCGCCCGTGCTGTGGGTGCCCGCCGGGTCCAAGATCCTCTGCATCGAGGTAGGGCCCCGCCTTTGTCTCCACCGGCTCGGCCCGGGGTCTGCACCCGCCGGTGCTCGCAGGCGGGCAGGGGTGGATGGGGGTGATGGTGAGGGCGGTGGATGTGCGGCCGGGGATGGGGTGTTGGCGGGGGGGGGGTATTTGCACCCGGGGACGTGGTGTGTGAGCGCGGGTGATGGTGAGGAGGGTGCATCTGCACCCAGGGGTGAGGTGGCTGTGTTGGGAGGGCGGTTGTTGTTGGTGAGGGTGTATTTGCACGCAGGGATGAGGGTGGTGTGTGTTGCTGTATCTGCATCCAGGGATGGAGAGAGGGTGTTGGCAGTGGGGTGTTGGTGAAGGGGGTGTATCTGCACGCAGGGATGCTCTGTGTGTGAGTGTGGGTGTTGGTGAGGAGGGTGTATCTGCACCCAGGAACGGTGTGTGGTGGGGGGGGTGGTGAGCAGGGTGTATTTGCAGGCAGGGATGGAGTGTGTGCATGCCTGTGTTGGTGAAGAGGGTACATCCGCACCCAGGGATGGGCTTGTTTGTGTGTTGGCTGGAGGGTGTATTTTTCCTCCGGGTGTTGTGTGTGTGGTTGCAGGTGTGCAAAGGGATGTGCTCGGGGGGGGGGGGTGTTGCACCCACACGTGGTGCAGGGGTGCGTGCGTGCATTGGCAGGGGCACAGTTTTGCCCCGGGGTGTGCACAAGGGCGGTTGCACCCAGGGATGGTGAGTGTGCGAGCGTGCCAATGGCTCCGTGCGTGTGCCAGCGGGTGCTGAGCGTGTCTCTGCACCCAGCGATTGTGCGCGCGGCGCTGGGCTGTGGGTGTGCGTGGGCCTGGAGGTGGCGGTGCTGGGGGTGTGTGCACGTGTGTGTGCGCGCCCGCTGGGTGTGAGCAGGAGCACGTGTGTGCATGCGGGTGTTGCTGGGCTCCCACATTGTGCGCGGGGTTCAGGTGTATGTGGATGGGTTGTGGGTGCTGCTGGGGGGTGTCCAGCGCCAGGTGTCCACGGCGCTGCCGGGGCCCCACTGTGGGTCCCACCGCTGCAGTGGGGAAACTGAGGCAAGGGGTGTTGTGTTCCTGCCTGGTACGGGGGTGTGTGTCTGTGCTTGTGCGGGATCCACAGCTGCAGGGAGGGCCCTGTGGGTGTGAGGTGGGGGTGCGGGTGCTCATGAGGACTCGGGGTGTGCGGTGTAGGGGTGTTGTGTGCGGGTGTACACAGGGCTGGCCTGGGGCGGGTGTGTGGCTGCACGTGGGTGAACAGCGGTGCTAGGGCTGGTGTACACTGTGTGTGGGGCTGTGTGGGTGCAAGGTGCGGGTGCAGGGGGGGCTGAGGCAAGCGTGCCACTGTGGGTGGGTGTGCGTGGAGGTTGCATGTGCTGTGTGTGGCGCTGCGCTTGTGCTCAGGGCTGTGCAGGAGTGGGAGTGCGGCTGTAGGGGGTGTGTGGTTGTGCGTGGGGGTGTGCTGGGATGGTTGCGCGCCTGCGCAGGGTTGTGCAGCGGTGCGACTGTCCCCAGCCCGGCTGTGCCCTCTTGCTGTGAGTGCACCCCCAGGACTATGGCAGGGTGCTCCTATGATGGCAGGCTGTTCCTGTGGTGGGAGGCTGCCTGTACCCAAGCGCCTGTCTCCCTGCACTGGGTGTTGGCTGCCTGGAGGTCCTCAGGGTGATGCAGGCACCAGCCTCCCACAGGCACCCGCTGCTCCAGCACCACCCGGCACCTCCACCTCGGCTCACTCGGGTGCGCAGTGGCCTCATGGGTGCACTGGCTGTTGGGTGCAAGGAGGAGGGTGACCCCGAGGAAGGAGCTCTACCCCCTGCCCAGGCTGCTGGGGGGCTCCGAATTTGGGTGGGGGACAGTGACAGTGCCCAAGCAGTCAGGAGGTGGTTCAGCAACCGATGGTGACCCCCTTGGCTGTTGCACTGTGGTGGTGTGGCCATGGGGTGCCATAGCCGGTGCTCTGTGGGGCACCCATAGGGTGCTGGTGGGTGCTGGGACACCCCAGACAGGATCTCTGGTGACACTGGGTGCATTGGCATGGCCCTGGAGTGTGTGAGGATGGGGGGAAAATGGGTGAGCATTGAGGGTTGGATGTGTGAGTGCTGTGGGGTGGAAAGGGGGGTGGTGGGGAGATGGGGATGAATGGGCAGGTGTGAGGGTGCTACGGGGGTGGACGGATGAATGGATGGGTGGATGGGTTTTGGGGGTATGGGTGGGTGCTATGGTGGTGGGTGGGTGCTATGGTGGTAGATGGGTGTTATGGTGATGGGTGTTGGGGGATGAATGGGTGAGTCTTGGGGTAAGATGGGTGGATGGGTGATTGTGGGTGTCAGGGAGGGATGAGTGGATGAACGGGTGGATGGATGGATGGATGAATGGGTAGGTGGGTGGGTGTCAGGGGGTGGATGGATGGGTGTCAGGAGCAGGGGGAGATCGCTGGGTGGTTGGTTGGGTGCCAGGAGTAGGATGGAGGCCTGTTGGGCAGTGGTGGGTGACTGTGTGGGTGCAGGGGTGCTGTGGGGACAGAGGGAGAGGTAGGCACCATCCCCCTGTGCCCAGGAGGGGTCTGGGTGCCCACATCATCTGCCTGTGCCATGGGAGCTGGCGCCGGGGGCACTGAGCACCCCGGGTGGGAACGGGGTGATGCCGGGGGTACCAAACCCCTTTTCCAGGGGTGTCCCCAGGCTGGGGCTGTTTGTCCCGGTGCGGTGCAGGGCCCTGGGGAAGGTGAGCTGGTCCCTGAGGTCTGACATTTATAAACATCAGCCGCTCCCGGAGAATCAATACAGTTTAATAACCAGCGAGCGGAGACGGGAGACACATCAAAATGACACTCTGCGGCTCCCTAAATGTTATTCTAAATCATCCTCGCTGCCTTTATTGCATTAAGCACACAGCAGCAGGCCTGGAAATATATTCCATCGGAGGCCATGCACTGGGAAACGGGACTGGTGGGTCAGCGGATGGGGGCAGCTCCCACACCCAAAATTGGGGTCCGTCCTCCCGGCCGCAGCAGGGACATGGGAACAGGGGGATGCTGGTTCTGCTGTCACAGCCTCCTGGCTTTAGGGTGAGCCCCTTTGCAGGGGATGGGGTGGATGCCTGAGGGACGGGTGACACGAGGGCAGCTGGGTGGCCCCATGTCCCTTGGTGGCTCCTGGGGACTCGGTCCCCTCCCTGGACCATCCCTGGCTCTGCGCTGACATTTCTCCCTGCGTTTCCCTGGAGACGAGACGGTTGCTGTGGAAACCTCCCTCCTCCTCTTCCTTATCCATCCTCTTCCTCACCCTGGGATGGGAGGGGGGCCCTGATGCTGCCCTCACCCAGCCCCTACATTTGTTGCCCCCTCCGTGGGTGCACAGGGGGACCCCGGGGTGGGGGTACCCACCCGAGCGTGCTCGAGCCGTGTACGTGTGTGCACACACCCGCCCCGTCATGCGTGACATCCTGCCGTTGCCGTGACGACCCCATCGAGCACATGGCTCTGGCTCTGCAGCATCGCGGGGGAAGCACGCTTGTTGCCATAGAAACGGCCGTAATTGTAGCGTTTTTCAGCTAAAAGAGGGGGAAAAAGGAGGGGGAGAGAGGAGGAGAAATGGCTCCGCGGGGCAGCGGGCCAGGGGTGTGCCTGGCGTGTCCTGCTGCACACGCGTGTCACAGCCGCGGGTCCGCACGGCGGTGACGCACGGTAGGAGGCCGGAGTTGGGTGGGAATGAGGCACAGGGCCGCGCTGGTGGCGGTGCTGCCAGGCTGGCCGGGTGCTGCTGCTGCCTCTGCAGTCCTTTGCAGTCGAGGAAAGCGGGCAGGCGGCCAAGGCTGGCACCGGCGGCCCGCGGGCGCCTGCGGCACCAGGTGCCCATCCTCGGGTGCCCGTCCCCGCGGCCGCAGTAGCGCCCTGTGCCCCTGGCACCCCCGGTGCCCTGTGCCCACGAGCCCTGGCTCTGTTCTTGCAGGTCCCTTCCGTGCTCCCTGTGCCAGGCTGGGGCCAAATCCTGCCGTTCCCCATGGAAAGGGTTGGGGAGGGGGGCACGGCGCCACCACTGACCGCCCGCTCCCGCTTGTGTGTTGCAGATGAACCGCCCCATCCAGGTGAAGCCGGCCGACAGCGAGGGCCGAGGAGGTAGGTCCCCCCTTCCCCAGCTGCCCAGTGTAGACAGGGGGTCAGGGCCACCCATAGGGTGACAGGGGGCATGGTGGCATTATGGAGGCTGCCATGGGGAGGTTTGTTTGCAGAGAAACCCCCAAAGGAGCTGCCTGTGCTGGTGGCATCCAAACCCAAGCGCAAAATGAATGTGATCTCGGCTCTCCCTGCCTGCCCAGCTCGAGAGAGCGTCTTGATGTCATGCTGGGAACATCCTGACGTCATGCCAGGAGCATCCCAATGTCATACCCGACATCTGACAGCCCCTTTGCCTATCAAACAGCCCATTTACCCACCTGCAGCTGACTGTGGGGACCCTGCAGAGCTGGGGTGCAGGAAGGAGTCAGCCACACATGGCCTGAGCCCCTCTCAAACAGAAGTTGCCACCTCCCTCCCCCGGGGTCTCCATGGGGCTGTGCTGCTTCCAGGCTGAGTCAATCATCTGGGCAAACCTGCAGGAATTGGATGAAAGCCCCCAGCGTTACTGGTGCCGAGGGCTGGGAGCACTGGGATGCTTGCATGGGGCCGCTGGCCCTGGGCTCGGACAGCTGGGATGGATGTTGCCCTGTTAAAACCATGCTGTTAAACACACCACGAGCTGCTCCCAGCACATCCCAGAGGGACCTGGCAGATAAATCACCCACTTACCGAGTGTCACTGGGGAAGGGTTAAAGATGGATGGGGCAGTTCGGGCGCCCGGCTCCGGGCCCCTGTCCTGGGCAGCAGCGCTCCCCGAAGCCGCCCTGGCTGGGAGATGGTTTATGTTGAACAGAGAGCACAGGAGCCCTATTCCCCGAGCTGATCCTCCCGGTTCCTTAACGGGCGGAGCATTAATTGTCTGCTGCCATTATTTATTTATTTGCTGGCGGGGCTCCTGACAGGGCACCTTATTCTCTTTGTCAAAAGCCATTAGCGTGCGGCGGGAGCGCGCGGCCGCGAGACGGATGCTGCTAATAATCGTGAACTACTCATTATTTACTCTCCCTCCCTCCCCTCGGGGCTGGGTTATTTATGTCCCCTGGGCACGGCCCGCGGCTGTGGGTTCTTCTGCCAGTCGATCACGGGAAGGCAATCGCTGCCGGTTTGCGGCTCCCTTTGTTTCCCAGCCACAGCGGTGCCGGGGGAGCTGGGAAAAGCCCCAGCTCCCGGCCCTCAGGCGGCTCTTTCCCAGCGTCACCTCCTCCTGCCGGGGAGGTTTTCCCACCCGGAGCCGGGTGTAGGATGGAGGTGATAAACCCCGCGCCGTGGCTGCTGGATCGGCGGCGCCGGCGTTACCCGGCGCTTCCCGCGTCCCAACGGGCTGGGTTTTGCTTTTAGAAGACAGGAAGCTCTTTGTGGGCATGCTGGGGAAGCAGCAGAGCGAGGACGATGTCCGGCGCCTCTTCGAGCCCTTCGGCCAGATTGAGGAGTGCACCATCCTGCGAGGGCCCGACGGAGCCAGCAAAGGTGGGCAGCGGGGTGAGCACGGTGCGGTGAGCACAGGGCGGTGAGCACGGTGGGGTGAGCACGGTGCGGTGAGCACAGGGCGGTGAGCACGGTGGGGTGAGCACGGTGCGGTGAGCACAGGGCGGTGAGCACGGTGGGGTGAGCACAGAGAGGTGAGCACGGTGGGGTGAACACAATGGGGTGGGCACAGTGGGGTGAGCACAGGGCGGTGAGCACAGGGGGTGAGCACGGTGCGGTGGGCACAGTGGGGTGAGCACAGAGGGGTGAGCACAGGACGGTGAGCACGGTGGGGTGGGCACAGTGGGGTGAGCATGGTGGAGTGGGCACAGTGGGGTGGGCACGGTGGGGTGAGCAGGCAGCACCAGCTCCTGCAGCGCCCAAGTCCAACCTCTCCCATGTCCCCTCTCTGCCTTTAGGTTGTGCCTTTGTGAAGTACGGCAGCCACGCCGAGGCACAGGCTGCCATCAACAGCCTGCATGGCAGCCAAACCATGCCGGTAAGTGCAGGCTCTCACCCTGCCCTGTTCGACCCCGTGCTGCCTGCATAATCCAATCACCAGCTCATTTGATCCTCTGTCTAATTGGATCAAAATCCTACAGACCAGCAGTTTGTTGGCCAGATCACCCCGAGGTTCATCCTTGCCCGGGCACTGGGGATGGTGCTCAGGGCTAATTCCCTCCCCGCTGCAGAAAGGGGCTGTTTAATTAACGCCGAAGGTCAAAACTGTGAATGAGGAGGGGAAAAGGGAACGGAGGTCAGGGAGGAACACCGGCTATAATTAAACCTCGCATCGATTGCTGGTCGCTGCTGCCAAGGCGGCAGCATCCCAAGGGCTGAGGATGCTGCAGCCGCTGCGAGCTGGCTGGACCCTCCTGGAGCAGGGACACGTCCCGGGGGCATGGCCGGGGTCCTGCCGTCAGCCCCATCTTCCCCCCATCCCAGGGAGCCTCCTCCAGCCTGGTGGTGAAGTTTGCGGACACGGACAAGGAGAGGACCCTGCGGCGGATGCATCAGATGGCCGGGCAGCTGGGCATCTTCAACCCCATGACCATCCAGTTCGGCGCCTACGGGGCCTACACGCAAGCGGTAGGAGCCGGGGCTGGCCAGGACCTGGGGGGTTTGGGGGGGTCCCGTGGCTGGTGGTGGTGGTTGTGCCTGCAGAAGCCTGCATGGGATTGTATCAGTGCCAGTGAATGCAGATGCCCATCAGGGTTGGTGCATCCCCATTTATGGGCACCACAGAGGGTTTCACCCCCTCAGGTGAGGATGGAGGGGGCAGGGGTCACCTTTTCTAGTGTCGCCTGTCCCTGAGTCCAGCAGCGGGTGGCATCCATCCCTCATGTGCGGGTGCAAAGAGGGAGATGCTGATTTATCCTCCCTGCTCCCCCTTCTCTCTGCCTCTCTCTTTCCCCTTTCCCCCCCTTTCTTTCCTTAAGATCATGCAGCAGCAGGCAGCCCTGATGGCGGCTGCGCAGGGCACCTGCCTCAACCCCATGGCTGCCATCGCGGCCGCCCAGATGCAGCAGATGGCCGCCTTCAACGTCAGCGGGCTGGTGGCTGCTCCCCTCACCCCATCTTCAGGTACAACCCCCCCCACGTGCCCCCCGTCCCGCCCAGCGCCCCCATGGGGTGTCACTGACCTCTCCGTGCCGCAGGTACGAGCACTCCCCCCGGCATCAGCACGGCGCCGGTGCCCAGCATCGCCACGCCGATCGGCGTCAACGGCTTCAGCCCGCTGCCGCCGCAGACCAACGGGCAGCCCGCCTCGGAGACCATCTACACCAACGGCATCCACCCCTACCCAGGTACCCCCCCGCAGCCGCTCGGCTCCCGCTGCGCTGCGCACCCCAGGAAGGCGCTGGGTGACCCCCAGCCGTGCGCCCGGCCCCACCGGAACCCTTCCTCCCTTGGCATCGCTGCCTCTGGTCTCGGCTTCTACGGAGCGGCAGGAGCAGCTCTGCCCCCCCGCGGCCGTGCTCGGCCCGGAGCCTTCTCCCGTGGGATCTGTCCGTCTGGGGGCTCCTCTGGCTGATTCTCTCTTCCTTCTCCTTTTCTCTTCCCAGCTCAAAGCCCCACGGTGGCAGATCCCCTCCAGCAAGCCTACGCAGGCATGCAGCACTATGCAGGTCTCAAGCTTTGCTTTGCTTTCTTCCCTCTCTCCCCTCATTTGCTCCTCACCTTTTTGGGGGGCAGGCATCAGCTTGGGGTTGAGCCACAGGTTTGGTGCGGTGTGCTTGCTCACGGATTAATGCAGTGAGCGCCGGGTGCCGTACCCCGGCAGGAGCTGCGGGGCAGCGAGGGGGTGATGCTGGTGCAGAATTCCATCCCCTCGTTCCCAGCAGCACGGATGTGCTCCCAGCACGGCCCTCCGTGCGGGTTTTGGGTGGAGGAACCTGAGTTTTAATGCCCATGGGGGAGAGCTGGCGGCAGTACCAGGAGAGGGGGCAAGGTTTGGGCGGTGATGGAGAGCTGGCTCCATGGCGGATCCTGCTGCTGGAGACAGCCATGGAGGCACCAAGATATCAGAGATCCTCGAATGTTCATCGTGTGGCCGAATCTGCTGGCCAGGGAGATGGGCTGCAGGAAGAAGGGACTCAAAGCATCCTGTGGAAGTCCGTCGGGCCCGGCAGCCATTTCTTTAGGAGCACTACCAGCGACGTTCAGATTTTCCACAGAAAATCAAGTTTGGACTCCGAATTGTTGGTTTTTTCCAACCAAAAGTGCCGGCTTTCCTCAGCCTTGAGGCCATGTTACTGCTGCCACCGCTGTGCCCCTGGGAGAGCTATTCCTGCATCCCTGCCGGGGCGGCGCTGGGGTGGGAAGGGCAGAGCCACGAGCCCGGGGCAGCAGAGGCAGCTCCATGGAGGGTGGCAGCGGGGCCGCCCCTGTTCCCGGCCCTGCGCAGGGCTGGGTGGGCGCCGGGGCCTCAGCTCCACGTTTCTCTCTTGCAGCAGCGTATCCCACCGCTTACGCGCCCATCAGCCAGGCCTTCCCCCAGCAGGCGCCCATCATCCCGCAGCAGCAGCGAGAAGGTGAGGAGTCGTGGGGGGGCACCCGCGGTGGGGCTGGTGGCTCCTGCCCCCCCCCCGGTGCCTCGCGCCTGACGTGTGCCTGTCCCTTGTGTGTCACCAGGTCCCGAGGGCTGTAACCTGTTCATTTATCACCTGCCCCAGGAGTTCGGGGACGCAGAGCTCACGCAGATGTTTTTGCCTTTCGGCAACGTCATCTCTGCCAAAGTCTTTGTAGACCGTGCCACCAACCAGAGTAAATGCTTTGGTAAGTCCTGGTGTGTGGCTCTCCTTGGTGTCCCAGCGCACAGGTCCAGCTCTTCCCAGTCCCCAGCTCGGGGGTCTGGGTCAACATACCAGATCAGAGGTCCAGCTCTCTTCAACGTCCCAGCTCCTCCTCAGCTCCAGCTTGGAGGTCCCGCTCTCCCTGATGTCCCAGCTCAGGGGTCTGTCCGGCTTGGGAGTCTGGCTGTCTCCAATGTCTCACCCGTGGGGTCCAGCTCTCCCCAGCATCCCAAGCTCAGGGGTCGCACTCTCCCCAGTGTCCCAGCCCAGGGATCCTTCTCTCCATGAATTCCAGCTCTGGGGTCTGTCTGTCCCCAACATCCCAGCTCAGAGACTGCCCATGGGTGCATGGTGGCTGGGGCAGTGTGTCCGTCCTGGGGCCGCCGGGCATTTTCATGTCCCACACCGTGCCAGGACAGGACTTGCCCTCCTGCTGCCCCCTCTCCTGCTGTCCTCAGCCCAGTGCCCCCTCCTGCCAGGGAGGGTTGGTCACCGCGTGCTCTGCTCATGTGGCCAAGCGTCACCGCTGCCACCAGCCTGCTCTGGCCTGCAGGTCTGTCACCCACCCTGGTGTCCCTGTGCACCGTGTCAGTCCAGTGTCTTTGGAGGCTCCATCACCTGGGTGTCCCACGAGCCCACACATCCTGTCCTCGTGTCCCCACAGACCTGCTCACCTTGGCGTGCCTGCAGTCCCTGACACTGATAGACCCTGTTGTACCAGTGACCCTGCAGGCCCCATCACCTTGGTGTCCCTGAGCACCACTCCAGTGTTCTGTGGACTCTCTTATGCTGGTGTCCCCACAGAGTCTGTCACCTCCATGTCCCTGCAGACCTTGGTGTCCCCAAAGATGCTATCAGCCCAGTCCCCTGCCATCTGGGGCTGCGCTCCTACCCCACTGTCCCCTGTCCCAGCATTACCCAAGCTGGGGCTGCCTGCGGGGTTTCATCACCTCGGTTCAGTGTCAGCCTTGGATGTTTTTGGTGACAAACCCGTCCTTCGCCCCAGGTTTCGTCAGTTTTGACAATCCGACGAGCGCTCAGGCAGCCATTCAGGCCATGAACGGCTTCCAGATCGGCATGAAGAGGCTAAAAGTCCAGCTAAAGCGGCCGAAAGATGCCAACAGACCCTACTGACCCCTGCTCAGCCTGGCCCTGCGGAGAGGTGAGGGGGACTGGGGGCCTGGTGTGCACCGGGGGACCCGGGTTCTGCTCGTGCTGTGTTCCACGGTGTCCTTGGGGGTCTGCACCCAGGACCATGCGCATGGGTTTGAGCGGGGTTTGTGTCCCTGTCCCCTCCCTCCTCTCCATGCCCTGGGCACAGGCTGAGGCTCTGTCGCTGTTTTGCAGGTTGGGTGTCCCGGGGTGTCTGACGACTTTCCCCTTCCCCAAGTGCAGTATCCAAACCCGTAACTCTCTTTCTTTGCAACACACCCCGGAGGAGGCACAGGAGGAGGAGATGGAGGAGCAGCGAAGAAGAGAGCCATTCTGGTCGTAGCTTTTCTTTCCTTTTTTGATTACTTTTACCCCAAACTGGTCTTGTTTGTTACTGAACGGGAACACGAGCGAGGAGGACGAGGAAGGAGGAGAGCGACGCGGCTCCGGGGCTGAGGTTCGCCGCCGGCCGCGTGCCGGGACTCAACGCCTCCCTCGCCGGGAGACGGGCGGAGGGCAGCCGGGATCCACTTTGTGGCTGGTGGTTTTGAAAGCACTCACTTGCTGCTACCGATTTCCCAGGAGAAACGAGGAAAAGAGGCTCCAAATGGATTCTTAAACCAAAGCCGGTGGGACGGGACCAGCCTCGGGCGCTTCACCTGGAGGATGCTTGGTTGGAAAAGGAAAAAGGAAAAGGGGCAAGATTTGCTTTTTCCCCACGTCAGGGGGAGGAGAAAAGACAAGGATCAAAGTATGTTGGACTTATAGAAGATATATATAAATAAGTATATATATATATATATCCCACGGAGCGGGGCAGCGGGACACGCGCTTCCCCTGCTTGTCACTGGCACAGGGACATAGGATTACTTGTTTCAGAGTCATATCATTCCTTAGAGTTTAGGGACCAAAGGACTATTGCTTTTTTTAAATATATCTATAAATAAATTAATTTAAAAAAATTAAAACAAAACACACAGAAAAAAAAAAAAAAACAAAAAAAAAAGGGGGGGGGGGAGGGGAAGAAAAACAAAACAAAACATAGAAATTGAGGGGGGTAAAAACACCTCGGGTGGGATCTGCTGCGGGCGCTCCCGGAGCGCTCGGCTCCAGGGCTCGGGATGCTCGTGGCTGGGCGGGGGCTGCGGGATGGGGAGGGTTTGGGGGCTGCGGTGGCTCCCGCAGGGAGCGGAGCTGGTCGGAGCCCTCGGTCACCTGCGGGAGAGGGCGAAGCGCTGCGGTTCTTGGTGGCTTCGGGGGGAGGTTGGGGGTGGGGGTGGTTTTTTTTCCAGCCAAAAACAAAACAAAACAACGAAAAAGAGAAAAATGTGAGGTTTCGGCAGAAACGAAGTGCGGTGAAATAAACTTATTTTGTCAAAGTCGGCACCTGGGCTGGTTCTTTGGAGCAGTTGCTGCCGGGTCCCACCACCCAAAGCCCCCCCACAAAGGCACCAGCAGGGCCAAAGCATCCACCGGGAATTTGGTGGAGCCGGGAGAGGAGTGTGGGCTTCTTTTTATTTGCTTTTCCCCAGGAATTCCCATTTTCCAGAGGAATCCCCATGGTTTCGCTGTTCTTTCCAAGTGATGGGAGAGCCTCTGGAGGACCCACGGCCCGTGGGATGTCCCTTCATGGGAAAGTGCCTTCATTTATTTATTTAAGGGGTAAAAACCCCCAAACCCCACAAATCGCAGCAGAACACTGATGGAGCGGGTGGCGAGGGGATGGGTGGTGTCACATCACCCAGGTCTGAGTGTCCTTGGGGGCCAGCGAGCGGGGATGGACACTGGAGTCCCTCTGTCACCTCCCAGGGGCAGGGGACACTGCGGAGGTGACACCGGGTGCCTCCAGCAGTGGGACGAGCGCGCTAGGTCTCAGCCGGTGCCTGAACCTGAACCAGGAGGTTTCTGAGGTTGGCTCCTGCCCTCCTGTACCAGCCCGGTCGGACCCAACGCCTCAGCGCAGTGAGGGCTGCCCCGGGCTTTGGTACTCTCAGCCCCTCAGACCCCATGGTGTTCCCAGGATGATCCCACAGGAGCTGCTCCCAGCCCAAGGGGAACCTCTGCCACCCTCAGCATGGTCCCATGTCCCTGGTGTGGGCCCATCCCAGAGGCACAGTCCCTTCTCCGTGGCATGGTCCCCGCTCCACAGCACAACCCCTTTGCTGTAGTGCAAGAGCAGCACAATTCCCTCCCCAAAGTCCCAACTCTCTCCCAAAGCCCCATCAATTCCCTCCAGTCCTTTCCCTGCAATCCCATTGTTTCCCCATGATCCTGTCCCTTCCCCGCAATCCCATCCCTTCCCCCCCCCCCCCCATCCTATTTAAATACTTTCCAGGGACACGGATTCCTTTTTCCTTTTCTTTTCTCTGTTTTTGGGTTTGGTTTGTTGGTTCATGGTTGGTTTTTTTGCTTCAGTTTCTCATTGTCAGTAAAACCCCGGTCGCTGCCAGCGCCAGGAGGGGCGGCCACCGGCCATGCCAGCCCCTGCAGCTCCTTCTCCACGCTGCCACAGGGTCGGGGATGCTGGGGGACAGGACCGGGAGGGGACAAGGGGCCACTGAACCTGCCTGGTGCTCGCTGGATGCTGGACATTATGGACAGGGGGAGCCACCGGTGTCGGCCCCGTCTCAGCCTTGAAACCCACACGTCCTTCCCCAGCCCAGGGGCTTCATTGGGTGCCAGGCAGCCCCAGGGGGGCCGCACCGCTCAGTTTGTGTACACCTGAGTCCCGATCACCCGCATGATCTCCTTCTGGATTTTGGGGTCCTGAGTATTGATATTGGCATCTCCCACTTGGCCGTCTTCGTACCTGGAAGGGGAGAAGGGGAGCAGTGAGGGGTGTCCCATGGGTGTCCCACAGGTACCATGAGGGGGGCACAGCCCAGCACTCACACAAAGAAGAAGCGGGTGCAGACGTGGTCCGAGACGGGGCAGACCCAGATGTTGCCGTGTTTCTGCAGGTCCTTGGAGGTGATGACTGCAGAGGAAGGGGCTGTCGGCCACGGGATGGGGCAGAGCTCCCTGCTGGGGCCCTCCCTCCCTCCTCCACCCAGCCAGGGGTGCGGGTACTGCCTGTACCCCCCACCCTGTCTCCCACCCTCTATCACCGCACCTTCGCACAGCGCGATGCAGTTCAGGTTGCGGCTCTGGAGGAAGCGGGACTGGATGGAGCGTGTCTGCGGGGAGAGGAGCCGGTGTCACCGCCCCGCCAGGCTCAGCTCACCCCCTACCTAGCACCCATGGGTGCCATGTCCCCGTCCCCATCCTCTTGCGGCATCCCCTGGCCCGTCACCTGCGGGATGGTGTTCATCCGGTTGTACCGCTGCACCAGTTCATCCTTCGAAGGCATCCGGTGCTGCCCTTTCCCCATCCCTGTTGGAGAAGCGAGGCTCCAGTCACTGCCAGGCAGGCAGCACCCTGGGGTGACACGGGGACACATGCCACAGACAGGGACGGCCACACCACGTGCTCCTGCCCTGCGACCGAGCCCTGGGAACCCCCAGCAGTCAGAGCAGCAGCTTTTAGAGCCTGGAAAATGTTGGGGTTCAATTCTCCAGCACATGGGAAAGGCCCAGCCTGGCTGGGAAGAGGCTGGTGCACGTGGGAAGGATGCAGGAAGCTGCCTGCTGCAGCCAGCACAATACCAAACATCCCCGGGCCCATGCAGGGAGTGAGAACGGGAGCGCAGATGGGACTGGGCAGCACAGGCAGCCTCTTACCTGAATATCCAAAGGAAATACTGGAGATGGGGCTCAGATAGATGCCCTTGCCATAGGCTGCTCCATGCAGCTTGCAGGGAAACACCAGGGTGAGCACCACGGGGTCACCCGACAGCTCGGACACGGTGGTGGAGGCAGCCCGGCCTCTGCAGGCAGCATTCCACATGCCTGCATCCCTCCTTGCCTTCATCCCTCCCTGCTGCATCCCTCCCTGCTGCATCCCTCCCTGCTGCATCCCTCCCTCCCTGCCTGCCCTGGGCAGTGACTCCGGCCCTGGGAGCGTTACCTGCAGTTTGGTGTAGGAAGCGTTGACCAGCCCGTTGCGGAGGATGGAATGCCAGTTCTCAATGTGAGAGCCGCTGGAAAAAGCAGCCCCAGGTCAGCCCCACGGCACCCATAGCATCCCGCCCCACAGCACCCACCGGGGGGCTCCTCCCTCGCAGCTCACTGGAAAGCGAAGGTGCTGCCGTAGAGCTTCTTGGCGGTGCGGAACCGCGCTTCCTTGGCTGGGGGGCTGCTGAGCAGGAGGAACTGGTGCGAGGTGTGCATGAACTTCAGCTGCTACCAGGGGAAAAGGAAGAGCAGCGGCGGTGCCGGCGGGGACAGAGGACGGACAGACACAGACAGACAGAGATCATGCACGGCAGCCTGGCACCGGACAGCCCCAGCCCCGCCTTGGCCACCCGGAGCTTGCCGGGAGGGTCAGTGGCATTCCCCGGCTCTTGTCCCCTATCCCACAGCCTGTGACAAATATTCTCCATCCCATATCCCATATCCTGCTTCCCACAGCCCACAGCAGGCAGGGCCCATCCCAAAGGTTGCATCCTGCATCCCAGACCTCCCACATACATCAGACACCCACATCCTTACATCCCTAATCCTGCATCCCGCATCCCACATCCCATAGCCAACACGCTGCATCCTATAGCCTGCACCCTGCATCCCTATCTCCCTCCCACATACCATACCCTATGTCTTTCATCCTACACCCTACATCCCACACTTTGTTCTGCATCCCATATCCTTCATCCCGCATCCCATATCCTTCATCCCGCATCCCATATCCTACATCCCACAACCCATATCCTACACCCCACATCCCATATCCTACGTCCCACCTCACATACCCTTCATCCCATATTCCATATCCCATACTCCACTTTCCACTCTCCATCCCACACCCCAACTGGAGCCCAGCCAGGCCCCTTACCCTGCTGAGAGGCAGCTTGACAATGTGGGATCTGTTGCTGGAGATTATCCTTGGGAAGAGGAGGAGGAAGAGAAGGAGGAAGGTCAGACAGGGTGGGCCCACACTCCCCTGGGACCAGAATCCACCCTGAAGCTTGTGGATCATAAGAAAGGGGCCAAGGGGGTCATGATGGGGATGCCCGGCTGCTCCCCAGCCTGTCCCCTATCCCATGGGACATGGGGCAGTGGTGGGTGATGTGGGGCAGTGCAATGGGGCCAGAGCACCCTCGACCTTACCACTGCAGGAGGGGATGGGCCAGGGGGTCCAGCTTGTCCATCTGCTTCTTGATCTCCAGGTAGGACCCCTGGCAGAGGCAAGAGGGGGTGCAGGTGGGTCCCCCAGCACCCACCCAACCAGGGGCGGGTGAGATCAGCACCAAAAAGCCACCCCTGATGAAGGGTCCCACACCAGGGGCATCTCTCATGGGGCCACGCTGACGTACCTGGGTCATCTCCCGGATGGACATGACGCTGTCCAGGGCCTTCTGCAGCCGCTCGTAGTTCTTCTTCTGCACACGGAGCAGGAGAGAGGTGGCCATCAGAGGGCTCCTCGGGGCTCCCCTTGCCCCATCGCCCCCGCACGGGGGAGCGTTGGTCCCCTTAGTGCTTACCTTGGGGTTGAAGGCAAGTGTTTTGGGGTCGTTGGGGTCTACCACGGAAGGGTAAGGCTCGAAGATGATGCTCTTGCGAGGGGACTCCAGGGCAGCGCGGCACATGGCCACCAGCAGGTCCACCACCTCGGGGACAGAGCGTGGGGTGAGGGAACAGCCCCACGAGGTGACAGCGTGGTCACCCCCCCACACACAGAGCCTACCTCAGCACCCGTGGCCACTTCCTCCGCCGCGCCGGACATGACACCCAGGGTGTAGAAGGAGAAGACGCAGAGCTCGCGGGTGCACACTGCTGGCTGCGGGGGGACAGGGGCCATGGGCAGGGTTGGGGACGGTGACACGGGGTGACAACAGCCCATGCGGGGCCGCTCCCCCTCACTGCACCTTGAGCATGGAGCCGTTCTGGAAGACGTGCTGCTCGTCA